ATGTTTTCCATTGTCCCCACATGAGATTGAAGGGCAGTCTTAGTATTTTTCTTTGCCATCTGTTTTTCCTTAATCTGTGGCTTTGTCCACAGACAAAGTCAGGTGATGACTTTTATCAGAAAATAACTTTTATCAGAAATTAAAATGACTTGGAAGCAGTAAAAAACAAAACAAAAAACAGTAGTGAGGGGAAGGGTGACATGAAGATGTTCTTTAGAGACTCATTAAAATAAATAGGACTAAGAGATGAAAGAGATATGACCGTTATGGAGGACAGTGTCCAATCCTCTGTCCATCTTTCCTTTAAGCTTAAGTGAGCTGATGTTACCCAAACCATTTTTTTTTATTAAAAAGCACAGTAATTATAATTAAAATAGAAAGATACAATGCCATGTGAAAACTACGATGACCATGGCAAGGCATTTGTACTAGTCTGGTTGACTGTGCTGGAGGTCTGTCACTCAGGCAGGTAAGAGACATAGCACTATTCTTTAAAAATGGTGATAGAGTGTCAGCCTGTGAACTGAGATGCCCCAGGTTCGATTCCAGTCAAGGGTACATGCCCAGGTTGTGGGCTTGATCCCCAGTGGGGGACTTGCAGGAGGCAGCCGATCCATGATTCTCTCTCATCATGGATGTTTCTATCTCTTTCTCCCTCTTCCTTCCTTTCTGAAATCAATGTTTTGAAAAGTAAATGAATGACTTCAGTAGCAAAACATGTATTTCTTGTCAAAGCAGAGACTGGTGTGGGTAGGACACAATGCAGGGCATACGTTCTGACTAGCCTCACCCAACGGCAGGCTGTATGTGTGGAAGTGAACTAACTATCCAGAGGTAGGAAAGGGTCTCCTCTGTTCCGTGCAGGTCAGAATACATCTTGACTTTGAGTTGCAGATTTACGCAGACATTATTAAGCAAGAGCTTACTTGAGACACAAATGTACAAGACACAAATGGTCTGGAAGGCCTACCCCATGAGGGCTCACTTCAAGGACCTGGGAAGAGCTAGGCTGGAGAGAACAGGCTTGGAGGGTATGAGACAGCTGCTTTGAAAGGGGGATGTTAGACTGACTGTATTGCTCCACGGAGCAGAGCTATGACAACAAAGAGAAACGCTAAAGTAGATTTGGTTCCTAATAGAATCATTTTCTAAAAAAGTATATGTTCTGCCTATATCGAAGTAGGTCCATGTCACACAAGTGTATAAGTCCTAGCTAGATGGCTCTCTATAAGGAAAATTCTGGAAGGGATTCCTGTACTCGATGGTGGATGGCACCATCCTGGCTTCCTACCCTGCTCCCTGTGGAGTGACTGTGGCTCACTCTCAAGTGCAGACAACCCACCCTGCTCCCTGTTGTCTAAATCCAGCTGCTCACACACTGGCTACCGCCCAGCTTCTGGAGGCAGTGGAGTTTGCATAATCTGTAATGTCACAGAATTTCCTGCCATTGGGAGACAGAAGAGAGGGGAACTTGGCAAAGAAATAGGTAACGCAGAACAGTAAAGAAAAGATGAAGATGGTAAACCCCAAAGAGTCTAAGATCGAACCATTTCTTTGGCTCCACACAACTCCCGCGTACATCACACCCCTAAGACACCTGTTCTGTCCCCCAGCTCTCATTTATATTGCAATTCCCTAGGCTTTTCCTCCTGAGCCTCAGAACTCAGACTAAGTTATGTAGAAAACTTGCTTGTAGGATTCGGGAGCTTTTATTACCCACCCAGTTCCCACTAGTAGCTTTTCCATTGTTTTTTCTGCAAGACTGAGCCCATCAGGAGAGAGGTTGTGGTTGGTGTAAGGCTGCCACCTGGTGATAGTTCAGACAAAGTGCCTGAGGCATCTATCTCTTCCCAGGTAGAAATGTTTCAAAAGGTGAACAGGTCCTTTCCTAGGTCAGACCCACCAGTAATGAAGGAAGTAAAATCTAGTTAACATTACTATTACTAATTATGCTCACTAATGAAATATAATTATATTAATAGTGATTGAGTTCTAATAAATATTAAGATGATGTTTCACAGCAAAACTGTATATGTGTGTATATACATTTTTATGTCATTTTACCATATGCATAAATATTCGTGTATATATTATTGGGTGTGATCCTCATTGCAATCCCACAAGTAAAATATGATTACCATGTTTATTCTTTTCCCCATGAGGAAACAAACTCAGCGAGCATGGTGACATGTCCAAGATCGCACAGCCAGTAGGAAGGAGAGACTGAATCTGAACTCAGCAGATCCGGCTCCAGGTTTTCCAGATGACAGTTATGGAGCCTACCTGGATCTCAGGAGCTTACTGCACAAAGAAGTTATGGGATTGCCATGAGAGGGAACCAGCAGCTTAAAGGGCATGACAAACTCATGCAGGGTTTGGCAGTTCTTTGGAACACAACACACCCAGGAGGGGAGGATTTGAATAATAAGGTCTAGGAGGGGGAAAGGCTGATAGGCAAAAGGTGGGATGCCAAGGCCCCAGTCTAGTGGAGTCATAAAGAGCAATAGCTCCTTGGGCATAGTAAGTGTTCAGGGAAAATCCCACTGGAGGTGATAACGATTCTAAAATTCTTCCAGTCTTGAGCTCTTTTCAGGAACTGGGCTGGGTTGGCCTGAGGGTGCTGGTCCTACTTGCATGACTCTTACCAGATGCCATCTTATCTTCCCCAAAGTCAAGACCCATCTGAGTACTCTATCCTGCCAAGGCTCTGTGAATTCAGAGGTTTTGGAAGCTGGCGGTGAGAACATGCATTGTTCCAGGTCTGGGGGAATGCTGGGCATTACATCTTCGAATCCTTTCCAATGCTCCTTTCCATGGTCTTCTGAGTTTTCTTGCATGCATGAGCTGATCAGTATTTGGCTGAAAACTCAAGAGGGACCCTCGAGTTCTCTCTCTGTGCAGCTCTCTCCTCTCTCCCACCAACTCTGTGGACTCCTGCTGGCTCAGTCTCTCCAGGCTCAGTTCTGTCTCCTCACCCAGGGAGTCTGCCAGGGCCTAGCTGGTTCACTCTCCCTGCGGCCTGGCCTGTGAACTCTGTCAAGGTAGGGAGTGATTTGTTCCTGCCTCTCAGGGTCTGCAATCTTTAATGACCTGATGTCCATTTTCTTAAAACCATGCTTTCATATACTTTGTCCAGTTTTTTAGTTATTTCAGGAGATAGGGAAATCTGGTTTTTATTACTCCAGCTTGCCAGAAGCAGAGGTCTTATCTAAGTCTATGAGTTGTAAATATTTTTTATGTTTTACCCTTAATTATGCAATAAGAAGTAATAGCTATTTCCAAGAACATTGTTTTCTTAAAATTTGGCTTGAATTTCTTTTATATCCCTAAGATTCAGTATTTAAAAATGTATATCCTCTGAGTTTTAGTCTTTCATTTTGCTTGAAGGGAATTCATAAATGTAGAGTTTCTAAATTTTAATTCTACAAATCTAAGCTTTTTCCTATTTACATTGATCTCAGGGGGTAGGAGGTATAGCTGGGGTTTGGGCTGGTGGGCCACCTCATGAGTGCCTGTGAACCAGGAAGCTGACTTTCACCAAATACTGAATCTGCTGGTGCTTTGATCTTGGACTTCCATGTCTCTCCATGGGACCATGTCTCTCCCAGCAGTCTTTGCTCAGACACATGGCTGGCGAGACTGGAGGAAAGTCCTGAAAGGAGAGGAGGTGCCATCCTTGTTAGCACAGCTGGCCTTGAAGGCTGGACCTAGAACACAAAAGGAGGCTGGAGTGTTTGTGTTTTTCCTCTGAATTCTTCTGCAGCCAAGGCAAGTTCACTACTTCTCACCCAGGCACCACACATCCAAGCACCACACCCACCAATGAGCAGCCTTTTCCTTTCAACCCACCCCCCAGTCTTCTTCCAGGACACATAAGACTCCTCCTCCTTCTGCTTTTTTGTATGATAAGGAACCTCCATTCCAAACACCCTCTTCCCTGGAGACTTTCTCCTCTAGCCCATAAAGTAGTGGAAAGGGAAGCATTTCCCATTAAGAAGAGAAAAGAAATTCTACAGTTTAACCATTAGCAGGGTGACTCCCTAGTGACCTCCCATTTCCCCTACCCATTAAGAAGTTACAAATGCAGAACTTCAAGATGCTCATGCTTACCTTCGTTACCTGCCCACATGTAATATCATTCTTCTCTGCCTCTTCCAGCCTCTTGAAATGGCCAGAGCAACATTCTAAAACATGACACGGACTTTTCCTATAACTAGAGTCCAGATGACGTTTGTAAAGAGTTCTTACCCAACATTTAGATAAAAGGAAAAGAATCTCTATATCTGAGTCCATTGGGGCTGCTGTTGCAGTGTATTCCATAAACTAGGTGGCTTGCAAGCAACAGAAATTTATATATCTCAGTTCTGGAGGCTGGAACTCCAAGGTCATGGCACAAGCAGATTCAGTGTCTGGTGAAAGAAAGTCAGCCTCCTGGTTCATAGGGGCTCATCTTCTCTCTGTGTCCTCACATGGGGTAAGGGGAAGGAGAGCTTTCTGGGGTCATAAGAGCTCTGACCTCATTAACAATAACCTCCCAAAGGCCCCAACTCCTAATGCTATCACCTTGGGGGTTAGAATTTCATCATATGAATGAGGGGAGGGACGCAAATATTCTGTTCAGTGCAATATGTATGTATGTACGCAGATGTATAGATTTGGGGTGTTATGTTTTGTTAGCGTGACATTTAAGGCATATGTGTTTCCTTCTGGATTTTCTTCCCTTTAGTAATGATGCCTTTCACACTCATATTGTTATTTAGTGCTGAGAGACGTTAGTTCCTCTGCCTTTGTTTCCTGTTTTACTCCTTGTATTAGGAAAGCAATACGTGGACCTCTGACAGTTGAGGAAAAAAATCTTGGAATCGCCTTATTCATTTACACTTCCATGCAGCGGGCGTTTATTGAGGATCTACAGCATGTCGGCCACATGGAGGCTTTGAGCCCAGCGCTGTCACCCTGTTCTCACTCTACTCACCAGGCCTCCTCACTTCTCTCTGCAGGTGCCACGGTGAGCAGAACAAACAGCTGCCAGTCTGACAGCAGCGGGTTTCTGGAGGAGCCACCGGACCCACCAGCCCTACAGGTAGGGGCTGATTCGGGGCTGGAAGGGGACTGAAGGACAGACAGACAGACGAGATTGAAATGTGCTGCCACAATTGGGAAAGGCACCCAAAGCTTAGAAGGCATGAGCCACAGGCACCTAAGAGACAGGGGACATTAAACGAGGAGCCAGAAAGCTCAGAATTTCTTTCCCTTTTAGTTTCTTTAGGTTTTATTAAACAAAGAAGCTGAGCCTCATAGGAAGAAGGTCCCAGTTAAAGTAGTAAACTGACAAAAACCGAGTGAGTGTGTAACCCTTATCTCCTGACTCAATGGTATCAACAAGGAAAAAAAGAAAGCACTTCTTACACCTAGCACCTCCCCCACTTCCTGACCCCTTTCCCTTTATCCTGGTTTCTCCCACAGATGCCCTCCTTGACTGGAGGCCAGAGTCCTGCGGAGAGTGGAAGGAGAAAGCCCAGGGATCAGAGCCAGCACTCAGGGCCACTCCAGGACTGCCAGCCAGAGGCAGGCGAGTCTCACTCTAAGAGTGCGGTGAGCACAGCTTCTTCTAGTCAAGACTGGAGTATCTTAGAGGACAAGTCTTCAGGAGCTGTGGTGGAGAAAGAGTCTGAGCTGGAAGCCACCGGGGGACATCCAGAACAGTTGGCCTCAGCTATGGCCCTGGACATGGCCAGCACTGGGGGAGAACACCCCAGGAAAGACAGCCATCAGAGGCTGCCCCCGCCCGTGACCTGCACCCAACGTGAGGCCAGTGTCGGCACGATGGCCTCCAGATGTGATAATCCACTGACGTGTATGGTGACCCACCTCACAGAAGGGAAGGATGGGTTCCAGAGGCTGGAGGGAGCAGGGGGCCTGTGCGTGCAGAGCCCCCACTGTGAGCCTCAGAGTTCACCTGGAGTGGGTCACCCTCAAGACAAGTTCCTTCATGTTGATTCTGAGGCCCCAAGAGGAGCGGAAGGCAGTCAACTCTGTTCTGACATCAACAACACCTTCCTGGCACAGTGTGTCCCCAAGCCCAGTGACATCACGCCCTATCGAGTTGACCTTATTCAAACGCCTGAGAAGTCCATTCCCCACCCCGATAAGCTGTCTGGAGATCCCACTCCTCAACTGAAGCCAAGGTGTAGTGCTTGGGGTCACAGACCACCCAGGGCAGAATCTGAGATGGAAACCCTTTCTTCAAATGCTGATTCAAGCGCTGTCAGCTCCGAGTCTGTGACAACCCAGATGTCCTGCAACCTGGTGTCAGCTGCTCAGAATGCCGCGGCCTTGGGGACTTATTCTAGAAGAACAACTTTAGAATGCACTGTGTGTGACCCTGTTAGCACAACAGACCCTGTCCTGGGGACCGAAGCCAGGCAGTTCAGGGATGTCTCTGTTCAGACTTACTTGTGTGAGCCCAGGTGCTGGCATCACTGCTCAGCTCCAGAAAACAAAGCCCAGCCCCTCACCAGATCTGTCTCTCTAGACACGGGCTTCCCTAGTCCTTGTGCAGAGGACATCTGCCATGCTGCACCTACCCCCTGCTCTGACTGCTGTCATCACCATCCACATCGCCACTGGGGCTGCAGGCATGGCCCGTGCTCACCCAGGCACCCAGAAACCCAGTTCCTGAAGATGCTGGAAGCCCTTCAGGGCACTGTGCTGCGGGAGCTGTGCTCTGTAAGTACTTACCTCTGCAGGTCGGGGAGGTGGGCGAGGCACACATACCCCTCTGGGATGACGTCTGGCCTCCCTTTGTGAATGCAAGTTCAGGGCACACCTTCTTGTTGCGGATCAGAATTAGTATTTGCAGAGTGCTGTGTGATCTATGGTATCTTCTCACAAATTTCTTATTTCATACTTGGCATTACCTTGTGAAGTAAAGAAGGCCAACCTTCTGATTAATTCCCACTTTACAGAGGGCTGTGGAACCCTTGCATGATTCACGTGTAAGGTGATAAGTATGAATGCAACTGAATGCCATCTTCAGTTCAGTCTGACGAACCAGTTCTCTGTCTTACATTCACGTAGCTGTATAATCTTGCTTGAAAGCTTCAGTTTTGCTGAACCTTTTCAGAGTCTCCTTAACTTTGTGGGGAGATCTGGCCTCTGGAAATAGATGTTTCACCTGATTGGAATCTATGATATATTGCACTTCCACAGAAAATACAGGGGTTTGCATCACCAGACTTTTGTATAGGTTTTAAATGAACAGGAGTTCGAATGAGTATGCCTATCACCATCCCTTGTCTTCTGGTACCTCATCTTATATTGACTCAGTCTTCTCTCCTCTTAGAATTTGCAATTATAAAAAAAATGGTATTTTTATATCAAATTGATTTTGCACTATACACCTGCTGAAATGCATACTTCATGGGTTTTACTAGAGACAATGCATTTATTTCTCTTAATCTAAATCAAAGGAACCACAAACACACACTCAAAGGAAACAATCAAAACACACATACCTGTGCATATTTGTACTCCTGGGCAGGTATACACACACTCACACATACAGAGAGAGAAAAGCAAGTGAAACTAATATATTTCATTCACCTATCAGAAGAGGCTACTTAAATAAACTAAAGAACAAACTCAAGAACAAAGAGACAAAGCAACTATGGTGAGCAAGCCTTGGTGTGTAAGGCCTGAAAAATATTCTGGAGAAAAAAAAATGGCTCTAAATTAGATGCTAGGTAAGGGTAGGTAGAAAAATTAATGATCAGTGAAAAAGTTATCTAGAGCATAGGTCTTGGACCAAGTGAAAATTATAGGCAGTGACAGGTACCATCTCTGACATGACAATGGGAGTTCCAAAAAAATGTGGAAATTAAGAGCATTGCAGATTAAAAGCTCAGAAAAACACTCTCCCCCTTTTACATAGAAGGATGGAATAGTGCAGAGAAACACTAGGTTGGTGAATGCCATTTTTGAGGTCTTATGCATTACCTAAGATAATGGCTTACTGATATAATTAAATTATTATATATAAGTGAATTCTTCATAATGATTTGTTAATTTTTTTAATTTTCCAAAAAAGGAAATAAGGTGTATTGGAAATTAGATTTTTGGATATTAGAAAATTCTTTTTTAATGTTTATGACTTAGATTTAAAGAAAAAGAAAAGCATACACCATTTACCTAGTAAAAGGTACTACGAGCCATTTCAAAAGTGCATTGTTTTCAGGGGATGTTGTATTATGTATACCCAGATCTTATATTGCAAGAGTTCAAAGCAGTCCCTTCCACTTTTTTATTTTATTTTGTGTTTAAGGTTTCTTTTTTTTCTGCAACTACTTCAATATTTGTTCTAGAGCCAAACGTCTATGTAGTGTTTCCAAATGACCAGAAGATGGCAGTGTTTCAGAATTTTCCTTGTCATTCCCTACACAGGGAGCCATAGGCCATTTAATCCAGCCCCCATACCTTCCAATCACAAAAACTCAAAAAACCAGATGAAATCTAAAAGTCAATGATTACAATGTTCAGCCTACTTGAGTATCAAAGTTCTATGCCCCTGGCCTCACTGTCCATAGAACATAGTCCTATAGGAATCCAGTGGTTCTCCTCAGCTCGCTCTCAAAGGACAAATAACTTCTCCATGTGGCCAGCCACACTGTAGTCCCTACTGTGACTCAAAACAAATGAACTGGGAGGCTTGGCTTTCAAATCTGACTGTCGTTTTTTTTTTTTGTTTTTGTTTTTACCTTGGACAAGTTAGCCATTTTTTTCACGATATTTGATCTCTGAAAGTCCTTCATGGTCTCTAAGACGTTTTCTGATTTGAACAGCCACAACTGTAGTCACATTTCAAACACTTGCCAATACAGTAATGCTTCAAACCCTCCTCAGATGCATTCACACTGAAGCAAAAGTAACTGGGGAGTTTGCTACACAAAATACATTATTCGGCATAATATTTAGAAGATAGAAAAGAATCAAACCCAACTCTTCAAGAAAAATGATAGAGAGTTTTCAATATAAAAATATCATTCTTAGGAAAATATTTTCATTATAACAATTCAGATAAGAAAAAAAAATAGCCATGGGGCTGCCAGGATCTTGGCCATGTGGTTTTGAGGAGAAGGTAAGAATCTGGGACTTCTTACAAGCAGGTCTGGGAGGAAGTAGCAGAGCTATAAGACAGCGTCCATGGAAGGAAGAAGAAAAGGTGAAAAGACACCTGCCTGAGAACTCATTTTCTTTAAAGGGCTTCCCAGAATCCCAGCTCCAAGCTCTCCACTTCCACCTCATTGCTATCTATCCTGTTTCCCAGAAAATAAGACAGTGTCTTATATTATTTTTTTCTCCCAAAGTTGCACTAGGTCTTATTTTCAGGGGATGTCTTATCTTTTCATGCACTAGGTCTTATTTTTGGAGGATGTCTTATTTTCGGGGAAACATGGTGCATGCCAGGAATGCTGGGAAACAGAGTTTCTTACTTAGACACATTGCTTCCCCTAATCTATTAGAATTTGTTAGTAAGGATAAAGGGGAGAAAGATAGTGAGTAAGCAACTAGCAGCCTCTGCCACGTCAATCAGAGAGGGGGACCAAACCCATGGCCTGGTGGAGAGTGTGTTAGGCTCCAACTAGCATTTGCAGCACCCAAAGTTAGATGGTTAGGGGTGCTGGGGTTTTGGGTTATGGACCCATTCTAAGCACGGTCCAGCCTGGGCTGGAAAACCAGAGATAGCCAGTAAGAACTCAGCAAATCAGTGGAATGTCTGACAAATGGACTGGGCTTGGTAGCTCTAAGAAGGTAAGGACACCAAGGCAAAAGCACAGGCATGCAGAGAAGGAAGATGTAAAGGATGATTCCCATCAGGAGTAATGAGAGCAGGATTGGGGGGACAGTCCAATCTTAGATTCCACTTCGTGTGGGGGTGGGTTGCCCACCTGTGCCTGCCTCATTGTGGATGGCCTTCTTAGCTGGCTGGCGATGGTCCTCGGTTTTCAATCACCAGGGACTGTGGTGAAGCCAAGCTAAGACTAACAAAATTTTTCTTAGAAAACTATAATTAAACATAACCATCTGAACAGATGTGTTCAATTATAGAGACTCAGAGCAAGGTAGTACTCAGCAACAAAGTGAAATGAGAAAGACTCCACTTTTCTAAGCACAAGCTCATACTCTAGCCCATTGCCTTCCTCTCCTCCAACTACCACATGGGTGGGCAATGTTCTACCCTTGGGCCATATAAGGCCCAAGAAATCCTTTGGTCTGGCCCTGCCAAGGCGTTAAGGGTGAGTTCATTAAATGTTTGACCAAATTTGGCAGGCTAATTTTTAAGTTGATAATTTTGTATGGCCCTTGAATGATGTTGAAAATATCCAAATAGCCCTTGGCAGATGAAAGGTTCCCCACCCCTGATCTATGCTCTCCCATCCCAGTATCACCTAGTCTTCCAGACTGCCTTCCCATCTCCTGGACAGAATTTCCAGGGCCATCCAACAGCTTCTACCCTCCTGTCCCAGCCATGCACTGCCTCCAGCTGCCAGGGAGAAGCCCAAGGCTGGCCTTTCCCTCTTCTCTTCCCTGCACATTAGCAATGGGGCAAAGCGGTGAATCCGGGTGGGATGGCGCACCCCACCCTGACACACTCCTGCGGTGAATCAGAACTCCCCCCTGAGCTCTCTCTGCTGGTTCTCAGGGCACAGCCCGCGAGATGGAAGCAATGAGGATGCTCTGCCAGGGCTTCCGGGAGCACTTGGAGGAAATGGAGAAGCACCTCACAGGACAGCAGGCCCTCTTTTCCAGGGACATGTCCGACGAGGAGAGGTAATTATCTGAGGGAGCCACAAGAGTAAGTACCAACCCCACGCCTGAAGCTGAAAGATAATCAGGGCAGGACCGATGAGTGCCCCGGAGCAGGGCTGCTGAGAAATTGGCCAGCTTCCCCTGGCTCTCACGGTTTTCTTCTCCTTTTCTAAGTGGGAGTCTGTGAGAGCCATTTGCCAGACAGCAGCATGCACCCTTGATGGCCATGGCTCTCTGAGGTCAGAATGCGGGCAACAGCTGGGAAGAGGGGGCTAGCCAGTAGGACAGCTCTCATCAGTGCCAGTGGGACTCATGTAAATGCAGATGTCAGAGTTTGAGGGGTTTTGAAATTTTGCATTATTTTCACATAGATTAAAAGTATGTGATCCGAACGTAGATGAGGAGTTGCCTGAAATTGAGGGACTAGGGATTAGCGGTACATAAGGTCATGATGGTTCTTATTGGAAAAAGGAAGTGTCCCAAACCTGGATGTTGCCAGTTACACAGCTTAGCAAATTCCGTAAAAATCATTGAGTTGTACTCTTAACATAGGTAAACTTCATGGTATGTAAATTATTGTGCAGTAGAGTTCTTTAAAAAGAAAAAAAGGAAATCTGCCCTAGTAATGGGCCCGTGTCTGCAGCTGATACAAATACAGAAGGTGACATTCTCCTGTAAGAAATAGCGAAGACATGGCCTACATTTTCGGAGGAGCGGCGGGAGATGGCCCTTGGACGGAGGCGGCTGTGGAATTTGGTTTTCTATTATTTGCCCGCAGGAAGGAGGCCGAGCAACTGCAAACCTTACGCAAGGCCCTGCGGCAGCAGGTGGAGGAGCTGGAGTTGCAGTTAGGAGACCGGGCTCGGCAGATGAGACAAGGGATCCTGTTGGTATGGCACACGGGGGGAGAGGGGGCTGGACTGTATCCTGCCCCCACTGGAGGGTGCATTCCGTGAGAAACCTGATTGTGCAGTCATTTCAGATTCCAGGGTTAGGTGCCAGGACCTTCATTTTCAATGTAAAGACACTGAAGTCCAGAGAAATACATAGCTCTGCTCAAGACCACGTGGTGGGCTGGGGGGTGATTCAGGATGAGAACTCGGGTCCCCTAACTTCCGTGCCAGTCTTTCACTCAGCCCTGTAAATTCCAGATCAATGTTATTAGCCCATTTTCCAAATGAGAACAAGAAACGCAGCTTTGGACCAAACATGGACTGAGTCACTGCCAGAATCTGCTGCTGGCCAAGCCCACACTAGAGAATTCACCTCTCACAAGTGTCTTCCCACAATCTGTGTTAGCTGTTTGGTGTAAATAAGGTACCTTGTCCACTCTTTCTGTCTGTTTTCCTTTTAGCAGCTTGATCTGATAGGAGAACCACCTGCATATGATACAAACCTGCACTCTTTTGACTGGACAGAAGAAAAGAAGGGCCAGATTTCACATGCCCACATCCACCCAGCCATGGCCCCTGAAGCTGCCTTTCCTCCAGACGATGGCCAGCAGACTCCCTGCTCAGGTAGGACCCATCTGGCTGCCTTCCTCGCCCACCCCCATCTGGGAGAGCCTCCCCGAGATGTCTCCTCCAGCCCAGGAAGAGTTAGGTCCAGCCCCTTGGTCAAATTGTCCTGCTGGAGAGAAAGACACCAGTGTCTCCCTCTAGATTGCCCTCCTATAAAATGTAAGAGCAACCCTCTCTCAACTTTCCCCAAGGAGGGGTGTCTGTCAGCCTTTCATAGGCTGTTTTTTATTTGTAAATATTTAACCCGATGGCTAAACCCAGAAGGAACTCAGAATCTTTTCATTTCCATTCAATACGGGATAAGTGAACACCTACTATGTGCCTGGCACAGATAATCTGTCCTGGCCAACATGTATACAGTAAGTCCTCACTTAATCATCAATAGGTCCTTGGACTTTAAGCAAAACGTCATATAGTGAAACCAATTTTACCACAGCTCATTGGATAACAAGAGTTAAGATCTTATGGAATTTAGTCAACATTTTATTGAAATATAGAGAACTGCTTTGCTTTGTATAAAACAATGTTATGTCCTGGGATTTCTCTTCATTATGCTCAAAGTGAGATACATGTACATCTATGAAAAGTCACAGTCCACTACGTCCTATAACATTCTCTTTATAACGACACTTGTTACGGACTTTATTGTGTCTACTGCCACCTGCCCCCAAAAAAGTTTTATATCTTGAAGCCCTAGCCCCCATGTACAAGAATGGCATTGGAAGCTAGAATGTTTAAGGAGATAATTAAGGTTAAATGTGGTCACAAAGGTGGGACCCTAACCCAACAAGACAGGTGTCTTTATACAAAGAAGGAGGTACACCAGAGACCCCTGTCTTCCCGTTTGCACAGGGAAAGGGCCATGCAAAGACCCAGAGAAAAGGGAGCCCTCTACGAGCCAGGAAGAGAGTCCTCAGCAGAAACGAGGCCCGCTGGCACCTTGATCTTGGACTTCTGGCCTCTAGAACTCTGAACAAGTGAACCGCTGTTGTCTGAGCCACTCGGTTGGTGATGTTCTAAGATGGCAGCCCCAGATTTTGGTTCTGAGAAGTGGGGTGCTGCTGTGACAAACGGCCTAAAAATATGAAAGTGACTCTGGATCTGGGCAAAGAGTTGGGGCTGGAAGAGTTTTGATGTGCATTTCTCTTCAAAACAAACTTTCTCCATTTTTGCTGGGTGGTGGTCTATCCTGTTCAGTCCTCAACGCCTCGTTATGTTGCTTATGATCAAGTTCTATGCCTCCTAGGTCATGATGTGTCCAATCCTTTATAAAGAGATTGAAAGGATCCCTTTCTCTTCCTAGCTCCTGTCTGTGAATCCCCCTGCCTTCTCTGACTCCTACGGGTTCCTTTTCCTGGCTCAGCCTACAGAACCCTGGTTTTAGCATCCATGCACGATAATGAACTTCCTGAAACTGGGTCTACCTCAGGGAAAAGCAGCAAAACAATTGCCTGCAGATTCCCTATTTCTGGAGTTTCTACATCCAATGCCACCTTCACTGCTGCTGTCATTGCCACTGCCATGGGGATGCCACTTCCTTGGGCATGCTGAAAGTAGGGCTTAGAGGGGAAAGATCTCTTTTCCCATCAACTCCCTCCCCAACCCTCTAGCCCGAGAGAGAGAATTTTTCTTGCATTATTATTTTTCTCTTTCACAGCTTCAAGATTCAGGCTGCCCTAGAATGTAAGCCAGAAAATATGGAGGAAGGAAACTCATCTCTAGGAGCTGTTTTTTTGAGTTTTTTATTTTATTCCCCAGTTCACTTGCTATTACATACTTTTAAGAGTCTTCAGGGAGTTGCTCTGCATATACTGAATAGGACTTTTCCTTATAATCGGTGGTAAAGAAAGGGAGGAGCACTTACTCTATCTTAATCATAACTGAAATTTGCTAACTTGAAGTGATGTTATTCATATTATAGTAAAAAATGCTAAATGTGAGTCATATAAAAGAACAACAAACATGGTAAGCATCATTATCCCTATTTTAAAGATAAGGAATCAGAAACTTTTAGTGACTAAGTGGCTCACTCAATGTCACACAACTGGAAAACCAGGCCTGAGCCTGGACTGGCCTGACTCTGCAGCACAGCCACCCCACTCTGCCACGTGCCCAAGTGGGGCCAGAGCTGCAGACGCTCTGATTACATGTGAGGATCAGGCAGTCGTCTTCTCTGAGGCCTGTGCTTTCCTAGCTTTCAGCATCAATTAGGTCAAGTTGAAAGATGTACTTATGCACAAGGCAGATTGGGATTTAATATCCCTTTGTGTTGGTTATTGGGCAGGTGTTTGTTTAAAGGAAGTGGAAACAGGTGTGTGGGCCTTGATTCAATTACATGATGGAGAGGAACACACTGATCCATGGCCATTTTCAAGGAGAGATGCTGATTGTGCTAATTAATCATTTGTCTGTCAGGACATAATAGAAACTGATGTTCCAGTTACCATTGGAACGGAACACAGATTCACGTGGCTGGCTCCCCAGCAACCAGATGCAACTGTTTATGATGACAGCAATGAAGATGCAGTACCTGAATCCTCCTGGATTACCAGGTCTGAGATGGTTTGAAGGAAAAGTGTTTTATAAACTCATGCCAACAGCACGGGACATCATCCAACAGGAATTGTCACTCAAAGGAACTTTTCCCTTCAAAGAGATTTATTGAGACCTCTTAGGTCAGGATGGCATTCCAGAGATGGGGCTGAATGGAATGCTTTCCCATGCTGTGTGGTACAACACTCAATCCACCTAACCAAGACATTTATGCTCAGAATGGAGTGTCATAATAATTCTGAGTGGTCTTTTAAAAACATAAATCAGATACTTTGCTCTCCCACATAAGAATCTCCAGTGACTTCTTAGTACATTTATAATTAAATCCCGACTCCCTACCAAGATCTACAAAGCTCTGTACAACCCCACCCTGCATCCCTCTGTGACCTCATATCATACTGCTCTCTCCCTGTCTGTCTCTCTCTTACTGTGATTCAATTTCTTGGATCTTCTTGCTGATTCCTAATCACCTTAGGATATTTTTACTTCAGGGGCATTGTTGGTGTTGTTCCTTCTTTGCATTTGCTATCCCACTTTCCCCAAATATTCATATGGCTGTAATCTCATTCAGATCTCTTCAAATGCCACCCTTCAGAAAGGCTTCCCTTAACAACCCTATGCAAAATGGGGCTGCTTCCTGCATACATTTCTATTTATTTTCTGCCCACTTACCTTGCTTTGTTTTCTTCATAGCATTTATTACGTGGATTTTTATTACCTTATTTGTTTATTTGTTCAGTGGCTGTATCCCTTCTGAGAATGTAAACTTTGTGGGGAAGAGACTTGTCATCATCTTTCCATATGTTATCCACAGGCCTAATACAAAAAAGAATTTGATAAGTGAATGGACAAGATAATTAATTAATATATCAACACTAATAAACATTGGGTATACATAAATAAGACATAGTTTAATCCACTAAGGAATTTTTAGTTTGGGGAGGAAGACATACATAGCTAAAAATCTCTTCATGTTACTTCTTTGTTTATACCTTTCAGAAACTCCCCATAGACAGCAAGGTTTTTGAATCTGGGATCATCAGTTTCACCAGGCAGTGGAGACATTGAGAAAAAAATTATTAGGACAACATGGCAAGTCTTTAATAAAGTGAATGCAACCTAAGCAATAGTGTTCTCACTTTTGCTTCAGAATTCACCTCTTTTTAAGTTAGAGGAGTTGTCTCTTGGTTGCAGGGAAGCCAGCCACCAAAGACCATACATTTTATGGTCTCATTGATATAAAATGTCCAGAATAATCAAATTTGTAGAGACAAAACATAGACTGGCATTTGTCTAGGGCTAGACAACGAGGCAGGGGAATGGACGTGACTGCTAATGATGGTACAAGATTTCTTTTGGGGGCGATGAAAATATCCGGAAATTAGATTACGGTGATGATTACACAATTCTGAACATACACTAAAAACCATTAAATTGTTCACTTTCATTACAGTGTATGTAAATTATATCTCAGCAAAGTGCTAAAAACAAATAAGGCAAGCAAGCAAACACCTGAGTCAGACTGTCTCCGGAGAGGGAAGGGCAAGGCCATCACCTGGATTTGCTGGGACTGGATTTGCCCAGAGAGAAGGTGAGGCTGGAGCCAGTGAAGGGACCAGGTCCGATAGGGGCTCTCGCTATGGCTGGGAGTTGGGTTTTATTTTGAATGTAGTGAGAAGCCATTGAAGGGTTTGAAGTTGGACAGTGACAGGATATGATGCATACTGCCATCCTATAAGAATGCCTCGTGTGTGGTTGACTCCAGACAGGAAAGGATGCAGCGAGATCTACTAGAGTGATGTGGGCAGCACTCAAACTGTAATAGATTTATTTTATTCTCTTTATCTCCTCTTCTTTTTATCATAAACAAAAAGCAAGGTCACTTTATATTTAGCAGAAAACTTCTCATGAATTGTCCCAGAAAAAGACACTAGCCAAAATATCTGAACCCCTATTAACCTTTAGTACCTCAAACAAGCCGTACATCACTGGTCACAAGAGAACAATCTATTAATAATGAAAAATGTAGACTACTCTTATATAATTAGTCCTTATAGAAATGGTATTCTAATTTAGCATCAAAACTTGCTTTTCATTCCAAAAAGCACTATCAAAGTAAAGCACGGGCCACACATTTGACTATCAACTCCACACCAATTTCCTGCCTCACAGCAGCCAAATGGTTTTCCTACATCACAAACCAACTACAGTCTGCAGTGCTATATTTGGAAAAGGAACAATGAGGCATCTGTAAAAAAACAGCATTTGCATTAGACTCCTCTTCTTGTCTAAAGGGTTATTTTCACTGAGCAATCTCAAGTGAGTGGCAAAGAATAGACAGGCTTTGTTAGACCATTACTCATGTAATGAGATTTGAGGTCCGCTATTCAACACATTTTTTAATGGGCACTTGCCCAGGGCTGAATTGCTGCCTACAGACAGTTTGATTATCAGATACAATTTTAAAATAAAAGAGTACAAAATGTCCTTTCTCTTCTCTGGCCCCCATTCTTCAGAGTTTGTCAGTTTATGTCATAGAGAAAGTTTTCTCTGCCAGGTTCTGTGCTCAGCCTTGGAATGTCTGACTG